GTTGATGAATTGTAATGTGTCAGCTTTTATATCGGTCACCTTTCCCTCCCGCCCCCCCTCCCCCCTCTCGCTGCCTTCCCTCTCCTCCCTGACGTTTCCCACTCCAAAGTATTCGAAGGTTGCCGCAGTTTTCCCTTTCGGATTTTTCATTCATGCTTAAAAAAAAAATATATATGCGTATATATGTATATATATATATATATATATATATATATATATATATATATATATATGTATATATATATATATATATATATAATATATATATATATATATATATATATATATATATATATATATATATATATTTATATGTACATATATATGTGTATTCATATGTATATATATGTATATATACATATATATATAATTTGCACATATATACATCTATATACATATACATACACATGTATATATATATATATATATATATATATATATATATATATATATATATATATATATATATATATATATATATATATATATATATATATATATATATATATATATATATATATATATATATATATATATATATATATATATATATATATATATATATATATATATATATATATATGGGCACGAATGGCGCCCATCAAATATTTATCCTGACCTACTTCCGCTTATCCTAAGAGGCTGAATATCCATTTGCATAATGATACACATCTCTATAGGTTATGTTTATTTTCAGATCTGAACTCATAACATATTTGCTCTTACAGCGGTGAGGGAGCTGCAGTGATTAGGTTTTTATGCTTGAATGGCTGCACAACACAGGAGACTCATGATGAGATGAAAACAATTTACTGACGTTGACGTTCTTAATTGCCATTGGCAGTTCAGGTGTGGTCGGGGATCTGTGGAGGACAATCCCAGTCTGCCAGTGGTGAGGACACCCTTCAACTGGAGACTCCCATTATGAAAGATCGCAGTATTGCTGTTCGTCAGCTAGCCCAAGATGTCATGATTAGTGTTGGGTCCGTGGACGAAATCATTCATGACCATCTGCATTTGTAAAAGTTGTCTGCTCGGTTCACAGGCTACCCACACCTTTCCAGAGTCCACTGTCCTAAGGCTCTTTTAGCCAGGAAAAGCAGGAGGGCTTTTTTGATACAGGTTGAAACTTGGCTCCATAAACTAAGGCTCAGTCAAAACAGAAGTAGCACACGTCAAACCCTCGGTAGACGTGGTTATGCTCACATTTTTTTTTTTTTTTAAACCAGTATTGAGTAGTGGTGATGGATTTCTTGACAAAAGGTCAAGAATTATAGGAGTTTACGATGCTTAACTACAAAAGAAATTGCGGGAGGGTGTCAAAACCAAGAGGCACGGAATGTATGTATATATCTATATACATGTATACATTAATACATACATACATATATGTATGTATTTATGTATACGTATATATACATATATATGTATATATATGTATATATATGTGTATATATATGTATATATATTCATCTATATACTTATACATATATATTCATGTATATATATGGACACCATATATGTTTATATCTACATATATATATATATATATATATATATATATATATATATATATATATATATATATATATATATATATATATATATATATATATATATATATATATATATATATATATATATATATATATATATATATATCATATACATCTATACATACATTCATATATATATATACATTATATATGTATATATATATATATATATATATATATATATATATATATATATATATATATATATATATACATATTAGGACAGTTATCTTCTCAACTGTCATGGGAAGTTGTTTTAAATTCCATTTAATAAAAATCGAGAGCACATGTTCAGGTACAATATTTTTCTTTGAATAATCATTACTTGAATTAATTGAATTATATATATTACTGTTTGAACATTCAAGTTGAGGAGTTATTCGAGAGTATTTCCAATTTACATTTTTGCTTTGAATGTGGTTTAACATGGATGTCTTTGTCATTGTTTATTTGCTCAATATTTGAATGTATTTGATATCAGTTAAATATACGTATTTGTTATAATAACCCAAACTGGAGATAAATGTCATCGAATATAGTAAAAACACGTCGCCTATCAGATGCTGGCCAGCGGAGTGTGGTTGAACACGAGATCTCTGTTAAAAGCAACTAATATTTCATTTGTATTCTGATATAACGAGTCTATGGGCTGACTTGCACCTACACTGAGCCTTGGTGAGGATATAATGCAGCTACAAGGGCAACAATATATATACATATATATGTATATTATATATGTATGTAAAAGTGCGTGTGCATGCCTTCTAGTCCCTGCTCATTTCATGGGAGGAATGAAGTGGCACCTCCACCGTTCCACCGGGTTTCCAGGTTCCACAACTGGATCAGAGCAGCTGGTCTTCCTTGCTCGTCGCGGATTTCACGGAAGAAGCAATGTTTACACGAAGCATTGTTTTGAAAAAGAAAAATCTATATTTTCCGAAATT